TCCTATAGGAAGTCTCCGGTTACCATCCATTGGGGAATTCCCATCTACTTCAGCTTCCTTATTTAAATTTTGTGTCGCAACATAAAAATTTTATGCTATTGAAGAGTTTAATAACATAAAAAGCACTGATTTTATTACTACAAACATTTTATGTGAACATGGATCCAGAAGGACTTCATAAAATTTACTGGATCTGTCTAAGACTGGGCTATTTCTTAGGATTTTTTTAGCTTAGAAAGAAAATTATTTCTAAGATGGCTGAAGAGAACATCACTGTACCACAGAGAAGAGTCAAGGCAATAAAGGAGAACTTATATTTCATGGACAGAAAAAACTCTGGAAATTAGCAAAGAAGTGATGGGAACCCTAAAGACCCCAGAGAGTCAGAAAGGCAACCTAGAGAAAAGAACAAAGAAATCTGCAGCTTTAAAGCAACTCCCAGCAAAGGGCAGGAGTCCTAACGCTGATAGGTAAAAGTAGAAAAGTGCAAGCAACCTATGTCATAGCAGCAGGCCAGCAGTCCTAACTGAAGAATTCACAGTCCCTAGAAGCTTTAAATAGAGTTCAGAGAGCTGCCTGGTCTAAAAGTGATGCCTCTGCTCTGAAGAAGATACACAGTTTGGACCACCCCAACCCCCCATAACTCAAACTAGCAAAATCTGTGAGCTATGGAGGAAGTGTTCCTGTAGGGACTGCCAGAAGCCATGTGCTGGTTCACACCTCACTGAGGGGAAGACAGCCACTCCCACAGCATCCTGCAGCTTCAGGACCAGTAGCTGCCATTGCCACAAGCCAAAGTCCTATCTTTTCTTGTCCCATGGAAAGTAGGAAAGTCTTCTTCCCAGCCCACAACCTTGGCGCTATAACCACTGTTGCCTAGCAGGATCTAGGGCACGTCTCCTCAGCTCTTGGCCTTAGCACTGTAGCTGCTGGTGCAGAAAGCCTCACCTTTACTCAAACTTGTCCTTGAGGAATGGTTCAGCTCTAGAACTGTAACTATCAATGCCACAACCGTTGTCCCCACCAGAGCTTTTCCTATATATAGCAGGGATATTCCAGGACCACTAATACCAAAGACACAAGTTCCACCATCATCTGTCCTCACTGTAAGCAATGAGTCGTTTCGCTCATGCTCCATACCTTAAGGGACATGGATACCAATGCCACAAGCTCAGGTGACATGGAAGAACTCAGGATCACCTTCTCTGTAGTTCACAGACTTTGGACCACAACTGCTGGCGCCCAAACCCCCAGTACCACTTGTACTTGTCCCCTGAAATCTGGAGAAGGTATTGTCTGGATCCTACAGCTCCATGGAAGTGGTTAACAGCACTACAAGTCCAAGCTCCATCTGCACTCACCCCACAGAACCCAGGAAAAGTCCTTTTTGTGTTCTAAAACCTTGGGTCCTCAGCTATTCATGCCACAGACCCCAGCAGCACCTATGTTCAAACAATGAAACCTCAGAAAGGCACCACCCCATCCTGTGGGTTCAAGAACTATGGCTGCTATTGCCACAGGCCCAGGCATCACCCACATTCATCCTGAGAGTCCTGGAGAAGCCCTTCCTATCTGTGGCTCATGAATTGTGGCTGCTGGTGCCACAACCTCTTGACATTACCTGTGCTTGAAATAAGATTAAGAAGAAACATACTTCAAAATACCAAAGGGAAAAAGCTGACAGTGTTTCCTTTAAGATCAGGAACAAGATAGAAATGTCCACTTTCACCATTCTTGTTTAATATAGTACTAGAAGTCTCAGCAGGAGCAATTAAGCAAGAGAAAGAAACAACAAGCATCCAAATAGGAAAGCAAAAGTCAAATTATCCATCTTTGTGAATTACATGATTTACATACTGAAAAACCTAAATATGCCATCAAAAAGTTGTTAGAACTTATAAATCAATTCAATAAAGTTGCAGGATGCAAAATCAACATACAAAAAAGTTTTTACGTACCAATAATGAACTTGCTGAAAAAGATATTAAGGAAGTAATCTCATTCACAATAACTATAAAAATATAAAATATTTTGGAATAAACTTAAACAAGTAAATCTCTGCAATGAAAATTAGAATACACTGATGAAAGAAATAATACAGAACACAAAAAAGGAATGATAGCCTATGTTCATAGATTAGAAGAATCAATAATGTTAAAATCACCATCCTATCCAAAGCAATCTTTAGATTCAATGCAATTCCTATCAAGACACCAATGACTTTCTTCACAGAAATAGTAAAAACAATTCTAAAATTTATATGGAAATATGAAAGATCAAAATAGCCCAAACAATGCTGAGGAGGGGAAAAAAATGGCTGCAGGCAACACAATACTTTATTTCAAAACATACTACATGTTTCTAGTAACTAAAACAGCAAGGTACTTGCATAAAAATGGACACATAGACTAATGGAACAGAATAGGGAACCCAGGAATTAAGCCAACTGATTTTTTTACAAGGGTGCCAAGAACATACATAGTAAAGAGATAGTCTCTTCAGTAAATGGTGCTGGCAAAATTAGATACATGCACATGCAAAAGGAACTAGATTCTTTTCTCTCACTGTACATAAAAATCAACTCAAAATCAGTCAGAGACCTAAATGTTAAACCTTAAACTGTGGAATTATTATAAGAAAACAGAATGCGGGCATGGTAGTCTACATCTATAATTCCAGCTACTTCGGAGGCTGAGGCAGGATTGCAAGTTTGAGACCAGCCTGGGTAAATAGTGAGAACTTGTCTCAAAATAAAAAAATATAAACACATGGAAATGTAGCTTAGCATTCTCAGGGTTCATTCCAAATTACTAAACAAAACAAACAAAGAAAACACTTCAAGACACTGGTGTAGGAAATGATTTTATTTTAAATTTTATTTATTTTTTTTGGTACCGGGGATGGAACTCTGGTCCTTGTGCTTGCGCAGCAGGCAGTGAAACCACTGAGCTAAATCCCCGGCCCCAGTAATGATTTTTTTAATAGAACCCCAAAAGCACAAACAAAGGCAAATTAGACAAATGGGATAATGTCAATCTAAGAAGCTTCTGCATAGCAAAGGGAATAATGAACAGAATTACAACACTGTAGAATGTGATAAAATATTTGCAAACCATTCAACAAGGGATTGATATCCAGAATACATAAGGCACTCAAAAAGCTGACCACAAAAAAACAATAATAATAATAATAAACAATCCAATTTAAAAATTGGGTAAAGGACTAAACAGACATTTCTCAAAAGAAAACATACAAATAGCCAACACGTATATGACAAAAGTTCAGTTTTATTAATTGTATTGGTCAGCTTTCCCATAGCTGGGACAAAATGCCCAACATGTAAAACAGGAGAAAATGGTTTATTGGGTTCATGATTTTAAAGGTTTCAGTCAACGGTGGACTGGCACCAAAGCAGGAAGATCATGGCAAAAGAGTGTGGTAGAACAAAATTGCCCACTTCCTGGTAGCTAAAAAGCAGAGCACAGGGTAAAGATATGCTTTCTGAAGGCATCCCCAGTGACCCACTTCCTCCAACTGTGCCCCAACTCCTAACAACACATTCAGCTATGACCATCAGTGGATTGATTCACTGATAAGTATAGCACCCCAATGAACCAATCACCTTGCCAGGAATTTAATGCAGTTAAATTGACAATTAAGATTAACTAGCACATCATCTGAGAAATACAAATCTAAACCACAATGGTATATCATCTCACTCCAGGTAGGATGGCTCTCACCAAAAAGACAAAAAATACCAAATATTGGCAAGAACATAGAGAAAAAGGAACTTTTACACACTGTTGGTGGGAATGCAAATTAATACAGCCATTATGAAAAACAGTGTGTAGATTCCTCAAAAAAACCTTTAAAAATAGAACTATTATATGATCCAGCGATTCCACTGTGAAGTATATATCCAAAGTTGAAATCATTATAACAAAGAGATGCTAGTACTCCCATACTTATTGCAGCACTATTCACAACAGCTAAAATCTGAGATCAATCTAGATGCCCTTAGTGGATAAAGAAAATGTGACATATTTACATAATGAAATACTATGCAGCCATAAAAAGAATAAAATCCTGCCACATGCAGCAACATAGATGGAACTGGAGATCATTATCCTAGGTGAAATAAGCCAGACACAGAAAGACTACATGTTCTCACTCATTTGTGGAAACTACTAAGTCCATGTTACAGGGGAACAGAATTGATTTGTGGTCACTAGAGACTGGGAAGGGCAGGGGAAGTGAGGACAGAAAGAAGTTCAATGAGGGACACCAAAACACAGGAAGAACGATTTCTAGTTCCTCTTTAGCACAGTAGGAAAACTACTGGTTAAAACAATCTATGAAAAATTCAAAATGACTAGAATAATATAAAATTTCCAGCACATAAAAATGATTAATAGCTGAAGAGATGGAAATGTTTATTATACTGATTTGATTAGTGCACATTGCACACATGTAATGAATTACCATAATGTACTCCGTAAAGATGTACAAATATGACATCCAAAAAAAGGTTTTGTAAACAAAAAAGAATTTTAAAAATTTTAATGATCTACTCCAGAAGAAAAAAATATAAGACTAAGAAATCACCACGCTCGCAGGGTCCACGCTCCCAGCGAGGATCACGCTGCGCCAGTGCCTCGGGCGCCCCCTCGGTTCTGCTACAACCCCTTACTGCGCATCCCAGGCCGACACGTGCGCGGAGAACTCCCCGCTGAGGTGGCAGAGGGGTCTAAGAGGCCCGCGTCAACCTACGCATCACCCATGGTCAAGGGCCGCCCGCACCCCAGGGCAGACTGTCCAGAGCCACGGGGAAAATGGTGGAAATTTTTACGGAGTAAATTAACAAGCAAACTAAGTGCTTACATTTAACTCTACAAGGGAAAAGGAAAGTTAACTTTTCAGTTCCTTAAATTGATCGTTGGATCCCAATAATTCTTTTTTTTTTTCTTTCTGATTGTAGTTACCAAACAGATATTACTTACATTTTCTGGCTGCTTAATGGGTTCGTTAATTAAGCGAACACTGCTTGTGCCACTTGCCTTATCTCAGTCTGAGACGGAAAAGAAGCGCCAGAGGCGTCCCAGTGAATTTCGCCTCTTCTCTTTCCAAAGTTTGTTTGGAAGAGCAAAATACTGAATGTACACGAATGCTCTTGGAAGATGTCTGCAAGTCAGACAGTTTCACATTCGCAGCACTCTCACAACTAAAGTAATGCAGCTTCCTTCCACACCTGTAGGTGTGGCACTGGGCAGGAAATCCGGACCTAAGTAGGTGAACGCGGAAGTAGCACGGAGTCAACGTGATAGCGCTCCGACGTCGCATTCCCTAAATCTAGCCCGGCGGTCAACTACGGTGGCCGGTAGGGATGAAAAAGGATAAAGACCGTGTCTTGCTTACAGATGGCGGAATAAAAAGCGTTACAGCGGAGAGACCAGAAAAATCAAGAAAGGGCGCGGAGGCAGATCATGACTACTGCAGGAGGAGAGCACCCCTAGCTGGCCAGTGTCAGATAAGGAGCTTGAACATCGTCATTTATTTATTTATGTATTCATTAATTTAATAAAGGGCACTGACAAACTGCAGCCTTTTGCTGGAAGGGAACTGCTGCTCTGGAAGGAGATTGAACTAAATGAGAATACCCGCCAAAGAGAGAGTTACTAAGCGTTTACTGAGCGCAAGCCTCTGTGCTGGGTGCTCTGGAAAGATGCTAGCCAGGCATGTTATATTCAATATGGAGGTGGGGTGTAAGGGCCACCTATCAGACAAAGAGTACTATACAATCATCCCTTGCTATCAGAAGGGGAATGGTTCCAGGACCTCTCCAGATAATGAAATCCACGGATGTTCGAGTCCCTCACATAAAAATAGTATAGCACTTGCATATAACCCGTGCATCCTTGCCCACATATTTTAGGCCATTTCTAAGTCACCTTTGTTACCTAATGGAATGGAATGCCGTGTAAATACTTGTAATATGGCACTTTTTAAGGAATAATGATAAGCGATAAAAGACTGTAGGCATCCAGTACAAACATATTTTTAAAAGGAATATTTTCCATCTGTAATTAATTAAATTGGAAGATGCAGAATCCATGGATAAGGAGCCGACTGTTATGGCCATCATAATTACTTTCTTTAATTAGTTCATTAATTTTTTAGAAGCCAGTATTTCTGTGAAACAAGCTTAATTCTGCCAAAAAGGTATACCTTCTTTTTGTAAACCAATGTGAATTACCATTTGGTTGAAAGCACACAATTTACTAATGCCAAGACAAAGAATTACAGTTTAGTCATAACTTTAGGATTTTTTTAGATACAAACATATAGAAGTAAAAAAATTTTGAATGGTATGTAAGAATCAATGTCTTAAGAACATATATTTTTGAACAATACTGTCTGTTACTGATCAAGAAGAGTATGGCTTCTGTCAGTTATAGTGTGGTACAAAAAAAAAGATATGTATTTTAGTTTTCTCATTGCTGAGACAAAATCCCCGACACCCATAGTTAAAGGAGGAAAGATTTATTTGGCTTACAGTTTGTAGAGGTTTCAGTTCATAGTTAGCTGGCTCTAAGGCAAGATGGCATTGCAGCAGGGCATCACAGAGCAGAAACAGTTCATGGCAGGCAGAAGACAGCAAGGCAGCAAGTGCAAGTGATGACTCTCTTTCTGCCCCTTATATCTTCTCCAGGCTACCCACCCTTGGGCAGGTGGCACTCACACCCAGCATCAATGGTAGCCTTAATCCTAGCATTGAATCATGAATCAATCCCAGCATTACATCCTTGACCCTAGCATCACACACCCTAGATCCAGCCACTTCTGAAAAGCCCCACCTATGACCACATGAAGCTTTGGGAGGACATCTAGATATAAGCCATAACAATATGTAAAAAGCAAACAAGAAACTCATAACTAAAAATTATAATTTTTTTTTTTGGTACCGGGGATCAAACTTGAGACTTGCACTTGCGAAGCAGTTGGTGGAACTACTGAGCTAAATCCCTGGCCCTAAAAACTGTACTTTTAAGAAGCCTGCAACTTCCAAGACCCAGCTGAAGTTACCCAAGGTGATCCATATCAGTATTTTTGTTTAAATTTAGGCTTCTTCCCTACCAGATCTATCACATCAAATTCCTCAGGAATACTAAAAGTAAATAAATTGGCTTAATTTAAAAAAATGAAGAGTAAGAACCTGATCCTAGATAAAGGAACAGGTTGAGAGAATCCAAAAAATTATTTAAATTTAAAAAAAACAAAATTGTTCAGACCTGTAGAACAGGCTAGTACCATTCTTGGGAGTGGGTTTTACTCTTCTGGGGTTTCCACCTCTTCAAGAAAAGCATAAATGTTCCCTGTTCCAGGAAATAATGCACTTCATTTCTCTGAGCACCCACACTCCACTCCTGCGTGTGTCCTAAGATCTCTGCCTAATACACCCTTCCCATGCCTCTTACTGACATATCCTGAAAATTCTTCTTCTATGTTAAGAGTCAATAAACCTGAAAACATCCGACAAAAGGATAGGTTTGGTTCCTTATTTCAGCCTCCGGGACCTTTCAGACTCAGCCCAGTAAGATTTTCTCTTGGCAAGCCAGCCAGGAGATAGGAGAAGCATTGAGATGGTGACTCTGGCAAGTCTGGCCAATGGCTTTTCATTTTTTGCTTGCCCTCTGCTCCTCGTCCTCTGCACCCTTCCACTGTAAAGCATAGTCTATGGACTCAACCCATAAAGTAGCTCCCTCGTTTTCTTTGTTTCCTCCTCTCTCTCCCAAGAAAGCCCCAACCCCCTTCTTGTCCCTTCTGTCCCACTCAGGCTTTCATCTGTCAGAAATCCCAAGTTCTTTAACTCTTTCTGATACTGGTTATCAGGGAGAGGTAGGGAGCTGGAGGGTGGCGGGAATTAATGTGACCTGGGGAACTCGGGAAGTTTTCTCATTCTTCCAGGGGCAGTTCCTAGTGTGGTGCACCATGTGGGAGGAGAAAGGGAAAGTGCAAGGCCTCTGTATTTTCCTAGCTAGTAGGACAGGCACACAGGCCTATGGGAAGGCCTCCATTCCACGCCCTCTCAGCTATCTGGCAAGAGCTTCCTTGGTCCTAGAACCAACCACCTGTTAAGCCCTAATTTCAGTTTTGTTTTGTTTTTTTTTCCTGGAGCCTCTTGAAGTTGCTTCTCTACTGCTTGCTTGTTTCCTCCCTCTATTTTAATTGGTTCTGGTATTCTTATGATAATTTTAGCCTCAAATTGATCTACCTATTGAAAATGGTATGTGATCAGGGGTCAGGGATTTAGCTCAGTGGCACCACGCCTGCCTTGCAAGCGCAAGGTCCTGAGTTCAATCCCCAGTACCACCAAAAAAAAAAAAGAAAAGAAAAGAAAATGGTATCTGTAGTTGCATCTTCAGACTATAAGCAATACATAAGATAGCAACTTAGTGAAACAATGTACAACATAATAGGACAACAATCATGACTAACAACATTATACCACGACACTTACATTTTTAAAAAACATAAGGCAAATCATACATAACAGTATTAATGTAACCAGAATTATAAAAGAAAATTTTAAACAGGTATCTAAGTAAATATGAGCTAAGATTTAATCTTCCTAAACATTTAAAACCCAACAAGAAAGTAGAGAACACAAGAAATAATTTCACAAATGTAAAACCTCTTTTTAAAGTTTTGTTGTAGGGCCAGGGATTTAGCTCAATGGTTCCGCCACCTGCCTTGAAAGCCCAAGGGCCAGAGTTCAATCCCCAGTGCCAAAAAAAAAAAAAAAAAAACCAAGGATTAAAGTTTTGTTGTAAATCGTACTAAGGTAGATCAATATTCTAAGCCTTATTTTTTTTAAACATAAATATTCTGACACTATCCCTGTGTATTATTTTGAATTTTAAAAAATTTAGAAAAAACTATCCCTAATTAGAAATGTTTTATTCAAAAGATATACTGTTGATGTATATGATTTATAACAAAACAAATTTTACATTATTAAAAAATTATGTCATCCCTTGGGCCGGGGACTTAGCTCAGTGGTTCCGCTGCCTGCCTCAAAAGCACAAGGTCCCATGTTCGATCCCCGGTACAAAAAAAAAACAAAAAATTATGTCATCCCACACATAGGATATTGATGGTTTAAAAATCATATCATTAGTCATGATTGTGTCCCCAACTGTAAACATCATGTATCAATGTAAGCACTGTGCATCTAGAAAACTCACAATATACCTGAGGTGGGAAAACCCCAAAAATCTTTGCAAGGCTTTTTTGTGGCTCCATCTAATTACTTGGGAGACAGAATCCTTCCCATTTATCCCTATGATAAAAGACCAGTTAGCCCAGGGGAAAGTCAGAAGGTTAGGAGACACGAGACTAATTGTGGGTCCTATGGTTATGCTCCATCCATCCAAAGGGTGTCCCTTCTCTCAAGCACAAGGTCCCGAGTTTGATCCCCGGTACCAAAAAAAAAAACAAAAGGTGTCCCTTAAGGTGACGGACCTCTCATCCCAGGGAGACACATGAGATACACACCTCTTTGGGGGTAGCCCCAAGCAGGAGAGATCTCTGACCTGTACAAGTCGGGGCTGACTTCACTCAGGGGCTACCATGGCACTGGGGTCACCATCTGATTGATCAGATTGGAGCAGATCAGCAAACAAAATAAGGGAGGGGGAAACTTACTGTTCTGGAGAGATAGAAAACCTGCCTACTGGAGAGTCTTCTGGGTCAGAAAATTTGGCTGAAGCAAAGATTGGAAGCTGGCGGCCACAGGAAGGGATCAGCAAAGGAAGGCCGTGAAACAGTTAAGGGGAAGTCCACACAGTATGTACACATTCAGCCTGCATGAGCTGCCACTGCCAACTGCACTGTGGTGGTGGTGGTGGTGGTGTCCAAAAGAAGAGAATGTTGCTTGTTACCCTTACAGATTATAGGGAGCCATCCTTCCACTACCTTCAGATTCCACTGGAGAATGGTCCCTGCCAAGGTTATTCAGTTGCAAACAGGAAGAAAGGTTTTCTGCGAGGGGCTGAAAAGAACTCCTTAGCTTGTTCCCTGATGGGCCACAGTGGTTGAAGATCACAGCCTGGGCCTTCAGATCCCTAAAATTGCTTTCTGTTCCGTCAGTGAAATCATCTGTGCTATACTGACCCCCACCTCAAAAGGAATAGTCCTCCTTATTTTCATTAAAAACACCAGATGCTTGGTAAATATCCCTTTGGGTGTTATGGGTGGGGTATCAGTGGAGAAAAGATAGGAGAGTGCCTCTCCCTTTGACATG